CACATAATAATAAAAGTAAGTTACATCATTTTCTAAACTTGAGTATTTAAAGTTGCAGATAGTGATGTTAGCCGGCTTAGCCGGCTAAAAAATTTTCTCTTAACACTCGTTTTACGTCTGGGATTTTAGTGCAGAATTCAATGACCTACATACATTACTTAGAATGACAAAAAAAAAACATACACAAAAAACAAAATACAATATGTAAATCGTAGCAGGATAAAAGTCACATTTTAATTCGAATTATTATTCGAATTATTCGTTTTATTCGGGATTATTCGTTTTATTTGGATTATTAGTTTTATTAGTTTTATTCGTTTTATTCGTTTATTCGAATAAAACTTTCAATATAATTCAAATACTCAAATTCATAATGAAAAAAACCAAATAATTTGAATCATTAAATGCGAGATATTTTAATAACAATAGTAATAGTAAATAATAATAATAATAATAATAATAATAATAATAACGATAGTAGTAGTAATAATAATACCGGCAAGCTTAGTATTAGTACCAACGATTTATTTGATCAAGACGTTTGCCACATTACTACACTTAGTCGTGTGGGGTGCGAACAACAATTCCCTAAATTTAATATTAATATTAATATTAAGTATTAGATGACGTTTATTATTATAATACAAAATAAGGAATGAAATAAGAAATATAAGGAATAAATAAATAAAGGTATAAAGATATAAATAGAAATAAAAAGATTCGATTCGGAATTAGGGTATTTCGACCAACAAATCAGCTTTAAATCCTAATTCCAATAACAATTGCATGCAATTTGAAAACCAAAAATTCGCTTTCATTTTTTTTATAAATGCTCTTACAGTACAGTAATCCTATACAATTTGAAAATCAAGGAAAACTTGACAAAAATTATCTGAACGAATCAAAATGAAATTCAATATTTCTCTTCTCTTTTTGATTATCTTTGCTGTTATGGCTTTAGCAAGTCCAACTCATAACAATAATTTGGTGAAGCGAAGTACTTCATTTATTATTATATTTACTATTACAATAAATATCATTATATTCGTATAATTGTTTTTGAAAAAATACTAACCATTGGGTTTCATTTGATTTTAAATAATAAATAGTGTAAGTATTTTTGTACTATTATTAGTCAATATCATTGTTTTTGAATAAATATTAATTAAGAATGGTTGACGAATTGTACATGACTAAATTCATATTTATCGCCAAGGATCTTTTGACGAAATCGACGAAATTAATTTAGCCAATCAATCCAAATATTTGTGATTGATTCCTATACATATATTTATTGATTTTATATAGTGCAAACATTTCAGTCAATATATTAACATCATGCGTCAACTTCGGACCAAGGATAGAGATGGGAAAATTGCTGGTAGTACGTAATTACCATATCTGCCGATTTGTTTTTTGGGCCCTTCTTTCAAACCCTGCACACATTTAAACTCGATAGGTCGGTCATTTATTTATTTTAAACAATTAATTGTTGCAACCGACTTAATGAGCTTACATGTATATCTTATTGTGTGTGTAACTGGTCAGTAGAGTGATGATTAACCCTAAAAAATTTATTTACTCCACCAAAAAAAAAAACTATTTTACCATTCAATAGCCTGTCAAACCAACGGCACTACCTCAAAACTAATGGATCATGCCATACTGAAATTTGAGCTTAAAAAAAAATCGACGCATATGCTAAAAGTACATTTTTTGAGAACCTAGGGTTTTAATGATTTTATACATAGAATTTTATATAACAATTCATTATGTGGAGTAACTTTGAATATTTACCATGGTGATTATTCTCATTCTTTTTTATCATGATGATAAGACAAAGGGTAATCATTTTTTTGGTGACATCACTACAATGTCATATATAAAATCAATATTTGGCCATACCTTTGATCATTGGTTATGAAAATTTGGTCGTATAATTGGTCAACGTCAATTTCGTCAAATGCAACGAAATTAACAACCGATTTGACGAAATAATTCGCCCTGGAAAGTATTTCGCCAATATTCTTAGTATATATAGTTAAAGTTAAACGCAGCCAAATTTTTTTTTTAAACAGATGGAAGTTCAAAGAAAGAAATGATGTCGGACCAATAAAAAAAGGCTTAATCTGACTATGAATTACATCCCTCCCGTCCCTTTGATTTATATAATAATAGATAAACTTATGGTTCAACATTTTAATTAATTTATAAAAATAAATTTCTTAAAATAGAATTAAATGCCTTCTAAATTCGAGTAATAAAATGAATTTAGAATGTTAATTAATTGATCAAAATCATAATATTCTTTCGTTAAAAAAAAAAACATGTTAATGTCATCCATTTTTTTATCTATGTGCTTCACTAAGACTGTCTTCTCCACTGACAGTGTAATTAGTGAAAGCGCCAAATATAAAAACAAGCCTAACCGCGCTATTGAATGTTGATGAGAAAATATTTGCTGAAGGACAAATATACGTTGCAATGAGTCGTTAAAAATCTTACATATTCTCAGTTTTGACCATGCTCAATTAAAGGTTTCTAAAGCAGCGTTAGAAGAATATAAAAGATTAGAAAAATTTAATACTAAAGTGAAGGGTTGCAAAATTTGATAAGACGGTAAAAATTTATTATGTGGAACAAATCAATCTTTTCTGCATTTGTAAATAAAAAAAAAAAGTTTAACAAGCAATTTAATATTAATATTAATATTTAGTTAATTGGCGTTTACTACTCCTTCGCCTGCGAAGAAAAACAATCCGTCATTTTGTTCTGTTTTTGTTTTATTATTATTGCTTTGTTTATTATATAATAATAAAATACAAATAAATTCGTGCAAGTGCCACCGCTCACTCATTGCGACGTTTAACTTAAAATCTTGTTTTATATTATTATTATAATAAACTTATTTTTTTTTTTAAAGAAATTTCAGTTTTTGCAAATAATATTGTAATTGTTCAAAAATAAAACGGATAAACATCTTTATTTTTACTATAAAAACTATCATTTAATCATTTCAAATTTCTTTAATATTAAAAAAAAAAAAAAAAAAGGTCTTTGAGCCAAAAGAAAGAGAACAAGACAAGAGTAAATATTTTTTTTTAAAAAGCGGTGGTTGTGCGCATTTTTGTCATTCTAGTTTATTATTAAAAATAGATAGATTAACGAAAATATATCTAACGAAATTGTTGACTGACCTGGATATTATTACCGAAGTCAGAGCCAGAATTAATACTAATACTAGATTTACTTAGGAGTTATTTAACTGTTAAATTAGTAGAAGAAATTTGTTTGATTAGACGAGTATAATTGATGAGCGGTTCTATTGTTTGTTGTTTTACGAGTTAAATAAAGAATATCGTGGTAACCAAATATTTTTATAGTAAAAATTTATTACCTTTGAAATTAATAATACTTTAAAACAAAACCATCGGCGAAATAAATAATCCTATCTCGGCATTTAATCATAATTTATTATTTTTATTTTATTTTATTTATAGCATGCTATTGCTCTAGAGTAAGTCGTGGAGATTGGAAGCTAGGAAGGACCTTCCAGCATTCTTTGGGATTTGATTACAGATTAGTCGACATCATAAAAATATTTGTTATTTAATTCTATAATTTATTCTATTTATTAATAATTATAATTGACATTTATAACATTTATAAAATAAAAGGTGACAATCTAAAAAATATTCTATATAATAAATAATGAAAAATGTTTTTTCTTTACCAAAAAATCAAAAATTTAAATATCATTATCAACATAAAAAGGGGATCGGGAATAGTCGGGATTTTGGGGTTTGGATTGTCTGCAGTTGCATAGCTACAAGTTTAGGTCAGATTGCACCTCCGACATAACTTACACCATCTTTAATTGCGTCTTTTAACGTTTTACCTGGAGTTTCTTGAAAAGTCATTAGAAATTCGACGCTTTTCAAATACAACGCTTGACTCACATGACTAACACTTGATCCCGGCAGATAAGGGTTTATACTAGTTTCCAAATAAAACAATTGATCATTGGCAGTGTTGTTTACTACAATATCTTGAAAATCTAAACCTTTTTTTAACAAACCAAATGATAAGGGTGTTGTGGCATGCTTTAACATATCAGTTGCAATTTTATATTTAGTGGAGTTTTGAAACTTGGCATAAAAATCATCTTCCGAATTAAATTTTGTGCCTTTTGGTGCAAATTTGTTTAATTCGTTTGTGAAATTGGTTAATGGCATACAATGTTATAAGTTTGTCAAGTATACTTTCATAAAATCCATTAAATATTATTGATGAATTTTGTGATGTTGGAGTTTGAGGTGCGGCGGTGGCGTTGGTAATAGCAGTAGTAGTAGAATCATCAATGCTAACGTATGGTACCGATTCCGTTGCATTTACTGTACTAGAATAAGGATATGGTCCCAAAATAATAAAAATCCCAAGCCATGTATGAATTCATGCAATATCATATACTGAGTTGGCTTAATTGGTGTTGCATCGCCTTTAAATCAAAAATCAAAATCAGAGTTAAATTTTGCTATTATGTCAGCAGGTGAAAATTCCGGATGTTTTTTAAGTTGGAATTGTTTTACCAATGCTTGTGGATATAATCTAACTATTCCATCTCCGCTTTTGAACCCAATCAATCTAGATAGTCCTGCTTGACCTAATAATAAACAAATAAATGAAAGTTTAGAAAATTTATTTTAAGAAAACGAAACAAAATAAAAAAATTGTTATTTTATCAATAATATTACCTATTGTTACTTCACCTAATGGTTTAAGAGTGATTTTTACTACAATGGGTACTTTGACATTTATGGCTTTGGTAATATTTTGTCCTGTAATATTCAAGTTTCTTTTAACTTTTTCACAAAAACCTATTTTTGTACTTTGACAATCAAGATCAATTACAAACATATTATCACTATTGACGGTTTGATTGGTATTTTTGTAATTTATCTAATTCTTCATTTAATGAATAATAAACTAATTTTGATTTGGATCGTCTTTTATGATCGAAACAACTAATTGTAGAAGATGATACTGCTGACGGTACCGCCGGTGCCGGTAAGGAAGAAACATTTGTGATATTAAAATTGTTAATAATAATAGGATAGTAATGATGCTAGAAGGTTGAATACGTTTCTTGCACCAAATAGCCCGAGAGAAAAAATGTGAGACTGCCATCCTATTTATATGTTCGAATTTAATAAAATATATTATTTTCTTGACTCAAGTGATGTAATTTTTTTGCTCTTTACAACAAAGACGAAACCCAAACTTTAATAAATTTTGATCTTGATGGCACAGCATGTGTGATATTTTGTAATACGTAAAAAGCAATGGTTCATTTTGCGTTCTCACCCGTAAACTTGTTCTTTGATAGAATTGGTAAATTCATGCATTGCCTCAAATATGCTATAAATTATTCATTTAAAAATATTTATTGTTTATATGTGATTTCTTAAAAATTAATTATTTAAATCACATTAGCTTGTAGTGTGATTACGAAAGATTAATTAACGACCTGCAGTGGATTAAAATAAACAAATAATGACAAATAAATCTTTTTTCTTAAACTGTCAAGGTTTCTTTCTTTTAATTATTTTAGAATTGGTCTGAGATTATGGGTATTATTATTAAAATTTATTTTGTTAATTAGCAAAAGATTGAATGTTTGGTCGCGAAAAATAAATAAATAAGTTTGCCGTCTTAACTTTTTTTTTACTAAAAAATACATACACATTTATTTGTCCTATCTCATTATTTATCCAAATAACCATGTATTTTTCCACTAAAATGCCATGTTTGATTGTTTATGTTAGGATCTTTTGGATAAAAGACAACAATGTGCACAATCAATTCCTCTCCGGTTGAAAATTTTGAAATCCCGACAGCATTCATGACAAAATGTTTATTTCTAGGAGGAATCTCTTTCGCCTCTGTCGCATAAAGACAACCTTACAAAGGATCCAAATAAACTAATTTGTTCACGTGGCCGGAAAATTCATTTCTGACAACATTGTTGAACCATGAAATTTTAAAAGTGCGTGCAAGTCATATCTTCATCGTGAATTGTGTTCTCATTTTTCTGGTTTTTATTTTGCGGAACAAAAAGTATTCTACCTTTTTCTTTAATAATTTTAATTTCATTATCGGTAAAATTTCCAATACTCGAAGGATTAAAGGACCTAATTTGTCGAATCTTATACCTCCAGTGCTAAAAATCTTGTAAATATTTAGAGCTAAGCGTTTTTTTTTTGCTGAAACATTACGAGTAATTGTAAGAATTATTTTTATCAATACAAAATCATTAAACATTCTTTGATGAACAACTTTAATTGTTGTAAAAATATAAGTTATTTTTATTATCTTGGAAACATGTCTTATGTATATAAAAATACATAATATGATGGCGAATATAAATATAAGCTTATCAATCTATCCGAGAGATTTATAGGCATAATCGATAAATAGATGAATAATAAATAAATAAATAAACACGAAATAATTATTACGAAATGAATTCGTGTTATATAACTATAAAGTAGATGTTATACGATACATTTTAAATTCAAATCATATTCAACATTATATTAATATTAAATCACGAATTGTTACAGTAGTGTTGAGCGAGTTCAGTAGCTGTAAAACCATCGGTCTATACATATACTTTTTCTGAATAATAATACATGCTCAGGTCTTCTTTGCACAATGAATTTCTTTAAATTGTATGACCCAAGCATTAAATGGGACGGCAGTGTAATGTAAATCAGACGCACTTGAGTGTGAGTTACTTTGAACTTGTGTTACTAAGCAATTTTTATTGCGTTAGATTTAATCATAGATCGTATGATCTGTCCATTAGACGAATTGATAAGAATTGTAAACAAGTTTCTTAAGAAGTAACTGGCGTAGATCAAAATTAACAAATGGTGTTCCTTTTCTATGCCTCGGGTTTTCTTGGTAAAAAAGATAAAGGTCCTAATTGATTGGATTCTTGATAATCTGATCCTGATTCCGTCGGTTAGATTTCATATTTGGTGTTTTATTGTTTTCACGTTAGATTCTCAAACTTATCAACCTTTCTTCTGATTTGTATTATCCTTTGCAATTTTGTTACAACAACTATTTCTTCATTATTCTTATTCTACGCTATAATAGATTTTCAAGCTTCTACTTTCATCTTGTTTTTTATTATTATTATGTGATCTGGACAATTTTTCCATGTGTGTTCCAAATTCCGAATGTAATAGATGTGGTGATGTTGATTGTTTTTGCATTGAACCCAAATCTTCTCTTACATCCAATCCGGCTTTTAATGGCAAGTTCAAAAAATTTTCAAAGATGTAAGTGTGTCAGAATGATGGAATGCGCGGATATCCAACTACTATTAATAATCTAACAAAGTTCATTACTTATTGTATAATTTCCTATTGTCTTCATTCTGCAAATTGGGCATGTGGAACACTTTGCAACTGCGTTCCTCAGACTGTTGTTATAAAGACATTTACGGCCAGACCTGACCTATTGACATGATTATTCAGTGGTAAGTAATGATTCTGTTCTTTGAGGGATTCCAGATAATTAAATTGTAATTTTCTTTCTATCAGGTGCTTATGCATTACCACAAACTTGAAGGATCAAGAGATTGTTGTCACTTTTCAAGGAACCACTGATGTAGTAAATGTGATCAAGGATGTTGAAGTTTAGCGGTATCTACATCAACTTCTACACCTTCTGGCTATTATCCCCTTCCACTTGACATTTCTTATGCCCAAGTTCATTATGGTTTTTACTTGAAATAATTTACTATAATATTTGCCTTGATGATTAAATTTGTGTGTAATATCATACATATAATACTATTCAACACAATGAATTATACATCTCACACTAATAATATACTTATGGTGATGTTAGCACCATTATCACTAACAATTGCTGTGTTTTTTTTTGTCTAATACATTCAATGATTTTATTAATTACTTCTGCTAAAAATTCGTCAATATGAGAGACGGAAGAAAAATCTGAAATACAATGTAAAAATTCTTTTCTTTCAGGTGTCATTATCATGAATTCTATAAATTCGAGCCATTTGGACTCGTCCATCCATCTGTCCCAAGAGTAATATTTGTTGTATTTTATAATATACTATCAAACTTTTGATTCACAATTCCAACTTTACTATCAACATTCCATGAGAAGATGAATTATATCCAGGGTTTGATTTTAATAAGTTAACAAAAAAAAAGATTTCATAATTAAATGGAAGTTCACAACAAAAAATACAATAGTCAAAGCTACATCAACTTGTTGTTGATGTGAAGGTTCAATTGATGTAGAACCATAATAGGAATCAACTTTAGATTGTCAATCACTATTAATTTTTTTATTATTTGATCTAGACTTCACCCAATCATTGGGGTGAATCACCACAAGAGTTGACGTGCATATTATTCACAATGATCAAATTATAATATTGTTTAATACCCTCTCCACATTTATTGCATTCATTTGCTAAATGAAAATGTAAAACTTCAAGTTTTGCGAATGACCATCTTTTATGACAATGTATACATTCACCTTTCTTCACCTTGAATAAATCGTCTCCATATACCAGTTTATAGTCATTTTCAGTATTTACAGAACTATTGATACATTTACATATTAAAGATTTGACACTTGGTTGCAAATAGTATGTCAACTTGGGTTTCTAGATACGACTTTCGTAAATCTGATTTACAGACAGCATCATTAACTCACTCCATCATCATCACCACCATCATAATCATCAAATAAAATACTCGTGACATTTTTGTCATCACCATTACCATCAGAATCTAATTCTGGCAACCTTGCCTTTAAATTTCTTTCTCGATTTCTTCATCTGATCTAACATTTTCATTAACAAGTATCACTGTATCTGGATCATCATCATCACCTTCATTTGTCTACAAAACGCATTTACATTTTTGGTAATCTTGTTGTAAATGAGATGAGAATATTGCATAAAATAATTAATGGATGACATTTAATGAACCAATGGTTGATGGGGTGCAAACTAAAGTAAACTCAACAGCAGCAGTTGTGGTTTTCCCTACGAAGCCACTTATAACTACTTGGAGGTGTTTCTATATGAGACATTTCCTATCAAAATTCTAGATTTTAGGATGTTCCCAAATAAAGTTATTTTTGCCCTTATTAATATGGTGTAGATTAATTCAATCAACCATCTTAAAACCAAACATTGCCGAAAATTAGAATTTCCGTTGGTGTTAACTGTATCAAAGTTTTTGTATTTTTATTATTAATAAATTTCAAAAAGATTTTGGAAAGTATCACTAGGATTGATATTGTTCAATATAATGCTGCTTATGGTATTTGTTAAAAATAAATCTTGTCAAATATTATTTTTTCCATTGAAATTTATGAAAAATCGTTGTCTTTTGAGCTCTGTGATAATTATATTAAGTACTCTCTCTTTCTTTTTTCCTCTATTAAATCAACGTTATTATTTTCAACACGTATCATAAACACCATTATTGTCAACGTTATCATCAACGTTAACATCAATGTGTATCGTCAACATGTTTTCATGTTATCAGCAACGTGTATCATCAACACGTTACCATTTTTGTCAATGTGTATCATCAACACGTTATTATCAACGTTATCACTAACTAAATTGTGTACTCATACAAGATTGTAGAGAAATCATACTAATAATTCATTATTTCAAGTGTAAAGTGAGATCTGTTTTTCATAATTGAAATGCTTTTTATTTTATTTTTAATGTATATTTTGTATTTTTTATTTTTAATATATATTTAATTTTTAATTTATTTTTTTATTAAAAATAATAAAAGTTTTAACGTTACCATGCAACAGCTCCTCTGATCAGATACCCAACCGATATGAATATCCTCTCAACATGGAAATCCGTTACACGGCCGACCTCGCACACCGTGAGGAATGGTCAGTCAGAAGCCTACCATGTCTTTACTTATACCTTCAGTCTGCAAGGCGAATAACTGGATCTTACAGCTCCAACGTCAACCCCAAGATCCCCCATACATGGACTAGCGCCTGATTCCTGATCAAGGAGGCTTATGCTAATCCATATATAAGAAACCCTGTAACTGAAGATTGATACCAGTGATCAGCTAATATCGAATAATCAGCTATCTACCAATAATGCAAAAAATTTGAATTATATATTTACTGAAAAAATTTTTTTTTTTAATTATGGGATACTAACACACTCATTTAACAATATTTCATTGGATAAATTCTATTTACTAAATATATTTTTTTTTATTTCTTTATTATCATACAAACTAATTTCAATTCCAAAAACATAGAGTATTGCAACTGTGCAAAAGTCAAAAGGTTTCGCCATAAGTCGAAACTGGTTTTGACTTTTGACATATAACTTTTAGTTTTAGCTTTGACTTTCATCTCTTTGGTGACCGACATTAATACAAACATAAAACAATTTTCAAAAATATACTTGATGACTGTTTTAACAATTATTCAATAGAAAAAGTAGAAGTTGTATGATGGCGGGTTTGTGGGAAGCAACTGTTAAAAAACAAGATGCATGATCTATGAAGATTCCAAGTTTTGTATATAACATTTTCCTTTCTTTTTTATTTATGATCAAACATCCATGAATCTATAACGCAAATAATAAATGATATTATATTCTCCTGCGACAATTAAGTATAGTAGAATAAGGATCCCATTTCAAAATTATCGTTTATAATAAATAATTATTTATAAGTAAAGGAAAATAGAAGAAAATAGTTGTCAAGTATGTCGAATTAATAAGTCAAGAATATGGAGAAGGTTGTTAGAAGCTGCATTAAAAGAATATAATAATAAAAAGGTAAAATCTAAATACAAGTTTTTTTATTCTTTACCATATATCTAACTGCGAAGTTTTGATTATCCTTTACTTTTGACTTGAAGATTTAATGAATCAGATTTTTCTTTATTATCAAGAAGTTTATCAACACACTTTTTGTATGCACTGATACCATTGCCAGGATCATCTAAATTAGACGGTATAAACTTTTCTATATCAATATAATCATCATCTTCAGATTATGCATGTTTTTTGGAGGTGACATATTTGGAAATGGTATGTTTTAAGCTTTGCAAATGATTTTTTTGTTTCTTTAATCTGGTATTGAATGTTTCATGCAATACATTATAACTCCATCACAACGAAGTGGTTATAGAAATTTCATTTAAGATTCATTGAAACTAGAGTAAGATTCATTGAAACAAAATGTGCATGTTGATTGATAATCGGGATAATTCATAGTAATAGGATTTATTATTATTATTATTATTATTATTATTATTATGAATTATTGCCAATTTCTCGTTGTTAAATATTTAGCTGATAACCGCAGTGAATGGTGTATTAACAAAATGGGTGATGATGAATGAAAACTGAAGGTGTCAGGAATCTTACAGGAGGTTAGTATTAAAGTTTATGGATTACATAAAATGATGAATCTATGGCAATGATAGATTAGTTTTGTTTGTCATTGCTGAAGTTTGGGAGGGTGTCGACCCGGAAGAACGATATTGTTAGGAAAAAATAATATCCTTCAGATGTCGAGGGTTTGCTCCTCCTGGTTATGCATGGCATTCAGCTAAAATAATTATGCCTAAATTATAATTATGGATTATGCACATGCAAATGAAAATTATAATTATTAAATCTTGTGATCACTAACTTCATATACCGGTATATGTTGTTGTATTGGCCATAGATGGAGATTGGATACAGATGCGTAATGGGATTAAATGCTATAAAGGTGTTTAACATGGTACAGTACTCGCAATCTAATTACCAAAATTTCTTAATGAGATGCAACTTTACTTAACCAAATATACAGGATAGGGAATCAAATCCTGATCGGGCGAGAGAGAAAATAGAACATAATATTAATTTCTTAAAGGAAAATCTTAAGTTAGATGCTAGGCAGTTTGGTTTTTGTAATTGTCCACAACCATTGTAGCTAATAAAGTGGGTTTATGTTTAGCATCCTATATTAGAAGTGGACGAGTATCTCTGCGATGCTCTTGGGAAAAAGATAAATGCCATCGACCCTTCAGGCCTTTCGTGGCAAGACCCAGAAGCAAATATGGTCTTATGCGATAAATCAAAGATCATAGAAAATTTAGGAGACAGACAGAAGCGGGTCTTTATGGTAAGAAACAATTGTATTTAAGTGAGCTAGTCCTCACATACATTTTTACTATATATTTATTATTAGCAACCACGCGAGAACATGAGATGTACCCTACCCGATTCCAGTTGTATCTAAGTGTGATATATTCGTGGAAAATTTTAAGAAATCGGGGGTTCCAAGAGAGATGAGGAACATTCCCCACAATAATAAATGGAAAGATAGCAATTCGGTTCTTGTAAAAGTAGTAGACCGTATTTTAGCTGTACTGTAAGTACTTCTCTGGGATTTTTCTACGTCCATCTTCACAATCATAATAACCTTTCTGATATCGGATATTAATTAGTGGTGAGATTTGGAATAACCCGGCATTTGCAACAAGAGCGTCTTGTGATGAACAAAGTGAGGGGATGTATATTACAGATGTTGTTGTTCCCTTGCTCCAAGTGAGTCTGATGGATCTTCCGAATGGTTATATATGCTTGAGCACGTGAGTAGATAAGTAACAAGTTGAGTATTTTTGCTTTTATTATTAAAATATGTACACCTCTGTATTCAGAGCGGAATGTCAGAGTATAGCTAGCAAGGTTCGGAAAAATTTTGGAACGAAAGATAGGCGAAGGAGTAAGAAGCCTGATATTATGGCAATAGAGAAATATAAAGAAGGTGATTGAGCTTTTATATGCTGAGAGTTCACATATCATCTGTAGTAATACAAAAAAAGGGATGATGATGTAAAATTGTGGAGGGAAATTTTGGACAGTGTTAATCTTGTAAATTCCATATGTAGGCAAACTAGCAATCAATTTGGTATTGTTTGGATACAAGTGGCTGGCGAGAATCTATTTCTCGATGTTATAATAAATGGTTCATGCGGGATTCCGAGACTTTTTCATCTAGAGCAAGCGGAAATACCTCTGACTTTAGATAGGGCACGGCATGTAAAATTTCTTATACGCTTATTGCTAACTTTGAGGAACATCCTAATTGTAAACAAATCTTTGCTCATGCATGCGTTGGAACAAGCTATCTCACTACCACCTCGAAACTTTCGCCCAATCCCCACCATTTCATTACCAACACATAAATAAATATTAAGGTAACATTTTATATACTTTCATTCTGTGTTTTATTTTTTTTTATATATCAATAAGGTGGTCAAGATTACTTATATTCAATGTAATCAACGAAAAAATAGGCTAATAAATAATACGTACGGATTATGTCTGACAATTTCCCCACTACGTGTTGAGAATATGTTAATCCCCCCAAAGTGATGTGCTACATGCGAATTTTTTATATTAAAAATGAATTTTGAAATCTGTATTGCAGATCCTTTATCACGTGATACTAATAAGAGAATGCAACGTGACAAACCTATTTTAAAACATGTGACTGTAAAAATTTTATTCATTTTTGATTGTGAATTTTTTCCCAAATCTGTCGCCGTGGCGCAGAAAGTTGTAGGGACTAGTACTAGATGTCCTGCACCATATTCGTTTTATTCATTTTATTCGTTTTATTATTCATTTTATTCGTTTTATTATTCGTTTTATTCATTTTATTCGTTTTATTATTCGTTTTATTCGTTTTATTATTCGTTTTATTCGTTTTATTATTAGTTTTATTAGTTTTATTCGTTTTATTATTGGTTTTATTCATTTTATTCGTTTTATTATTGGTTTTATTCATTTTATTCGTTTTATTATTTGTTTTATTCGTTTTATTCGTTTTATTATTCGTTTTATTCGTTTTATTCGTTTTATTATTCGTTTTATTCGTTTTATTATTCGTTTTATTCGTTTTATTCGTTTTATTATTCGTTTTATTCGTTTTATTCGTTTTATTCGTTTCATTATTCGTTTTGTTCGTTTTGTTTTGCTTTATTCAAATTATTATTACTCAAATTATTTGTTTATTCAAGTAAACCTTATTTGAATAGAAACCCTAACTGCTACTCAAGATATGATATAGTTGGCTCGGTCTAAAGACCTCCTAAATTTTGAGCAAATTTTAAAAGTATAGAAGTCATTTTCTGTCCTACATTTTAAAAAAATAGCGTTATTAGTTGATAGAATAGGTCTTTAGTTTTAATGTAATAACGAGATATTCTCAAAAAAATTCTTTGTTGTAGAGTTCTATTCTTTTTTAAAACATGTACTTTACTATGCTCGCGAGGAATTTGTCCACTAAGATCATTGCTAAATTTAGACTATTTTTTGATCATCCTTACTAAATTTAGACTAATACTCGACCATCATGTCTAAATTTGGCAGTAAGGAAAATAATTTTTTAACCAAAATCACGTGAAACCCTTTTTTTAAAAAATTTTATTGCATTTTTGAACGAATCACGAAATCGCTATTTTTGAAATTTGTCTGCGTGGCGCAGCAATAGGAGGTCTTTAGACCAAGCCAACCATATTATTTTAGTAAGAGCTTTAGAAACATTTAACCAATAACTTAATTACAATATAAAGAGCTATTGGTTTATTAAACTAAGCCAAAAATTAACTAAAAAAAGGATTAATTTAAAAGAATATCTGATAAATATTGGCATTTTCAATATTTATTAGTAGGCTTTTAGACTATATGATAAAAATATTATTAACTTATCAGTATGCTAATACCTTGATTATTTTTTTAAAGAATAATCAGATTCTGATATTTTCACAATTAGAATCTATTGATAGACGATTTGGATGAGAGGTGAAAAGTATGTGTATATGTGTATATGTTATGGTATGTATGCATATATTATAAATCAATAGAATTGTTTACCAATATTTTACTAAATCAAGTTCCCTATCTAGATGCATGTTTAAACCTGTTTCAGCATTTACATTGCCACCATCTTCTTTCGATTCCCCCTCTACTTCTTCTTCTTCAACATCTTAATTTGTTAAAGCATTTGGACATTTTCTAATTTTTCAACAAATGGGTCAAAATTTTTGAAATCCCTTTCTTGTAATAATCTTTACAGTATTTGCGCTTTTTTCTAAGATATTGATACTCATGGTCACATATAAGTAAGTACTCCTTTCATCATTTTCAAAAGGTCTTTTACATTTATTACATAATTTACAAATTATGTATTTATTATTTCTTTCATAATTCATAATTTTTTATAAAAATTTTGCACCTTTTTATCAATTAAAAAAATATTAAACAAATAAAACAGGCAGGTGGAGCAAATGAACGTATCACGTTACACTCGCATCAGTATTGTTCCGCAGTTACGCGACGAATTTATATATTAAGATACACCGATTGGACAGATAGATATGGCATTTTGGTGATGTTCCTCTATCAATAAATATCAACGGTGCTTTTGTATTAATCGTAATTCTGAGATCCATATAATAACAAAATATTAATAATCTTATTCATATTTTCCATTCAATAAATTATGGAATTGATTTCTGATTTTCGTTATTAGCAAAATATATACATTATTATTAATAGTTATTTGTAATAATGACATTACTATCAGATGTTACATTTTTATAAACATCATTATTATAATCAACTAGAAAAGTATCAATCAGATTGAAATTGAATAAAACCAGTACAACCAAGTCAATGCCAAAGTGAAAATAAGATTTTAAGCTTAGCATGAATTTATATCTTTGGATTGATTACAGGAATAAAATAAGTTTATTTTGTATCACTAAAATTTAGTCCTCTGAAATTTCTTGTCTCTATTTTTATTAATTATAATATAAAATTATCGTTATTTTATAATAAAATGAAATTGATAGAGGGAGTATATATATAAATTGTAGCTTTCATATTTATAATCTAAATTAATAATAATAATAATATAGCTAATGATGATGATAATAGAATCCTTACTATCATCAGATCTAAATTATAAAAAAATTTCTATCAGCACAAAAAATATAACCATCCACCAGGTGGAGATTTAATACCAAGCACAATGTACAAATTCACAAGTTTAAAATAGCAAAAGCAAAAATGGCCAAATGAAAATAACTGCAAATTCCTATAAAATAATAAAAATAATTTTAAATATATTATTATTTAATAAAATTAATTAAAAAAAAAAATACTCACCCAATCCACATCTACATCCAATGCCCACTGGAACTTTTCATGGAGGCACTTGTTGAAAATTTTAGCAATCAGCACATCATATTTTTTGCACCATGCAACAGAGATCCATGGGTCTAGGTAATGGATTTTTGATGTGCTTAATGCAGTTGTCTTGTTGTCCTCTTTATCTTGTTTTAATAACTTGGTGGTTTTAATACATACTGTCAATTTTTCTATTTGGATCCGGAGTTTTTCACTTGTTTGTCCTTTTCTTGGATTGACCTTTCCAGATTTTTGTTCATTCTCCAACACCTTCTCTTTTTCATCAATGTTTTTTAATAATTGTTCAAGATGCTCATCAGGTTTAGGTGACTTTCCTTCTTCTGTAAGCTTTTCATTATCTCTTTCAAATTTTTTTACAACTG